TGGACGTTACGTCCACTGCCTGTCTTCATGTTTCATCTCTGAAATTTCTTGGATTTTAATTAAATTCACTATGAATAAGTACATTAAAAGCTATAACGTGATTATTTTAACAAATAAATTTATAAATGTTTCACTGGCCTGGTTGTAATGTCCAAAACTGGAAACAAAATGTCAATAATTTTAACTTCACTGGCAGGCTGCTGCTACAGGATTTACCCAAATAAAATAATTTGAAGATGACCGTCTTCTGGGATGTTGCACTGTGCAGTCTGGTAGAAGCTGACCTGCCTTCATCAACTTGGTGTTGGAGAACATAAGCACCTACAAAACAAGTCAATTTCTACAGTGCTACGTCCCAAAAGATAAAGATGCTGTCTTCTGGATTATAGAACTGCGTACTCTGGTAGAAGTTTACCAAAGTTTCAGATGTCATTGATGCCTCTATCATCAGGGCGATGAGATCTGATGATGGAGGCAACAATGACCTCTGAGAACTTGGAAATTTCTACCAGACTACACAGTGGTACAACCCAGAAGACAGCCATCTTCATACTCACTACCTTGAAAACCTCAAATCCTACTATACCAAAAGATTTTGTCACCATGAGAACCTGAGAAGCACTAATGGTGAAAACTTACCAGACAACATACACAAAACATACCAACAATTTATCAAGTGCACATTCCAAAGATACTTCTCAGAAAGAAACCAGCAGAAAATACCCTCCACAGACCAATGAAGCTCGATATATGTACATGTGAATACACACAACACGTTGACAAAGGACTGTGATCTGACATTATATAAGACAAAGCTCATACCATGTTCTAATCACTTTACAATATAAATTTAATCAAAACATAACTATATCAAATGATGTAATAGTATAGTTTGCATTACGAGTTGGGAGCCAGAAGCTGAACTAACGAGTTTGAAACATGTTGCCCTTCTTCTTCTTCTTTATTACGCCGTCTCCTTTACAGGAGGTTGGCAACATATTATGAACAGGATCCTTCCATCCTTTTCTCGGACTGGGACCTGTTCATATATGTTTTTTAGGCAGGTGATACAGAAGTGGTTTGCCATTGCCTTCTTCTGTGTGTAATTGTTGGGATGCCATGGAGAAAACTCCGTGTTGCCTAGACCAGTGGTATTCAACCTTTTTCATTCGCATACCCCCAGATATAATTTCTCTTCAACTTTTCACCCCCAAAGTTGTTGGTGTATAATTCAAGTTATACATAGTATATAATCTAAAATAAATTAAATAAATTACATTACTGATTATTCAGTATTTATCATAAAATAATATATATATTTTTAAATTACACGTACCCCAGGTTGAATACCACTGGCCTAGACCACGGCCTTGCCCAACACAAGTTATAAATTCAGGCACCGCCAGGAATCGAACCCGGGACACCAGGATTACAAGGCCAGCGTACTAACCACTAGACCCACCGTGGCGGTCACATATTGTCCAGAAGCATGAAATTAAATAAGTATATGCACTCATAATTTTTAAGTGGCTACTTGTGTGGAAACAGATATGGAGACTTAATTAACATGCATAAGCTGATAATATTTTAGCCACATGTAATTACTAAAGAAGGCCTTGATCTTGGCACACACAAACTGGGACTCGCGTTATATTTCAGTTACCGTGTTAATTTTCAGGGCTGTGGCTGTGAATTGACAATATGAATTTGACATTTTTTAACCTTCTGTACTTAGGTTTGATGCATTGCAATAAAATTAATTTGGCTGCTTAGCATTTAATTTGATTTTGATAAATGAATACATGAGTTAACAGTATATGGTGATGAAAGGATTTGAGGCTAGGTGCTTTGGCGGTGGTGGTAAAGTGAAACTCCCTGGCTTTTTTCAGGGATTAAATCCAGGTAGTCCAGCCCATAGCCACTCTGACTAAGCTATCCTCGATCTAATTCTCGAATCTTAAAATGCCCTTTCATAAGAAAACAGAATGTCTCTAGTTAAACTGGGCTTCAAGGCTTAGATCATATTTTCACACTGGCCCCTGAAACATTTCACCTTATCCCATTAGTAATCAATGTAAAGAAAGTAGGCTAAATAGTCCCACAGTCGATCTTCATTTGTGACATGAAGAGACTGAAGTAAGTAAAACTGTTACATTTCTGCACCAGGCTTAACTTATCATTCAACAGTACGTAATTCAAACATATCTTTCAGCCAGCTTCTAAAATCTTCACAGAACTATAAGGACTTATGTAATATACAGGTCCAAGCGCTTCAGTCCTGCAGGACGAGGCACGGAAAGAGAGAGAAGCCAGAATACAGAAAAGTGGCGGAGCCTATCAGACGACTATTATATCCTGTTTGGTAATACCTGAAAAATATTAAAGAAAATCAGCATGTACATTTCATAAAGCAAAGGCGAACTTGGTCAATACCTTCACTCTGAAAAGTATTTTCTTTATCGATACCTACATCACAGTTTCTGCATTCCTTCTAGCGCTACATAGCTTGGACCCATAAAGTATTAAGCACAGTCATAAAAGTTAACAGGAAACTAAATAATTACCAGAGTTCAGCAACCAGTCCCCTGAAATTGTTATTTCAGGGTCTGTAAGTTCGATAATTCCTCACCATCTGCATACACAGCGACCAAACCTGGCCAAAGCACAGTTAAAAAAGTCTTTATTTTTTAATTTGAATCTCTTATAACACAGTAAACTCACGTGGTATAAACTAGGCAAGCATGTACAGCTCTCGGTAACCTTCACTTGAAGGACAAGTGACAAAATGTCATATCTATGCTATTTTTCATATTCTCAAAAATGCACCACAGTATATTAATTTTTATGCTTCAGTGACAGAAATTAATTGTTCAAGGTCAAGAAACAAAGCACACTGCTAAATGTATTAAAGACAAAATTACTGTGTATAGCACATTTCAGTATTGAAAACTATGACCACGTTTAAATACGGAGATGTTGCACCTTACAAAATAAATAAAAAGTTGAAAATAACCAGAAGACCACTTACATTTCAGAGTTAAACTTACGGCCACACTGAAATAAACATTTATACTTCATGCTGACACCAAATCTTTAGCCACTCTGCTTGTATTTACTTTATTTTTACATGAAATTGTAGGCTACACTTTAACAGCTTTCCTGAGTGGCAGCTCAAGAGGAACATTTTACTCACTGCAGTTGTTAGTTAGTTTCAAAGCAGTACATTAAATGATTTGCTTGTGAACAGTGAATGGATAAACATTTGGAAGGAGACAGTCATGGCCTAATTAATTGTACCATACAAGCTTGGACCAGTTGAGGAAAATCGCGGAAATGTCAGTGGTAATGATGACTGGTTACACAGCCGAGGCTTATAATGGGCTGGTGGTTAACGAATTAATAAATTAAACATACTAATTACTGCTGACAACCCTAACCGCATTTTCAGTTCCCACAAGAAGCTGCTGCTCTGCATCGTTTCTTCTACCACTCAGTGAAATACAGGTTCGATGCGTTGGGGCAGAGACGAGTCAAATTACAAAACTTAAATTACATCATACGTCATTCACACGGAGAGTAAGATGTGAAAGTGTCTGTGAAATTGATGATAAAGAAAAATATGAGGGCACCGACAGCTGATCCCATCTGCTGAACAGCTCCACACCAGAATAACGCACGGCCACCTTCTAAGCGCAATACTGATGCAATAGACACTTTTATATATGTGATGAGACCAGTGACGATCACCCATGTCAACACCTGAGAAAAGACAAGGAATGTTATAACAAATTTATTTCTCATAATAACTTGCAAGCCTCTCTTAATGGTACCTGCACCTTGTCATGGTGGTGGGGGTTGAGTACCTCAGTGACCCCAAGAGCTATGCTGGCGGTAGCATAGCTACTGGTAGGGCCTCCCTAGCCAGATTGGTCGAGGGGGAGAGGTCAGACTAAAACAGGTACCCTGGTCCTCCAGGTTGGGGGTTGGTCGCAAGGCTAACAACCTTGCACCGTAAAAAGGAAGATGTTTCGAAACCTCGATCAAAGCCTCGGACAGACGGACCTAACAGAGGACCGAATGGAAGAGGAGAATTGAGGAGGCCATGGACTGAATACAGACCGGAGCGCCATAGAAGAAGAATAACTTGCAAGAATTTATTTTCATTTTTAATTAAGTAACTGGTTATATAACTTAAGTTTCAACATCATGAATACCAAAGTTCACCACTGGACACAATTCTGAGTGAATCCTATCCATTTACTACTCTACTATCCATTGCAAAAATTATGCTTTGATTTCTTTTTTGGTCTTCCAAGAGGTCTCTACCAAAATTTCCCCATCTGAGCCACATAAAAGCGCATAACTACTTTAACAACATTATGTGACTTGTATAAATTATAAAAATTTCTAAGCCCTTTTGGGACAGAAATATTTTGTAGTGCTGCAGCACTTCACATGCAACTTACCACAAGAACTTCTCCTCCTGGTGTGTTCATAAGCGGAGGTACCGGACTGAGAAGCGCCGTAGCCATGATGTACCCCGTGATGATAGTACTCGATAATGTTAGTATGGATATAGTCCTTACTGATGAGTATGGGTAAAAAAATGCTAAAAAGCAAGCCATTGGATTGGCCATGCTTCCCAAAGTCACAGAGAGATGATACGCAACGTTACCATAAGGAAGACATGAATATGACTGAATACTTGGGAAAATACCATTGCCAAACATGCACACCCACGCTGACAAAACTAGAAAATAAATATACACAGACTGCGATAAAGAAGGTCGCTTGTCTGCGGACAACTCGGAAGAGAAGGAATTGGTTGTGGCAACGTCATCTTTCGCAGCTGCATTTCCATGCAGATGTGTATTTCGATGAGCATTATGTAATTTCGGATGGACCATGGAGGTTTCTGGATCTTTCATTAACACTTCCACATCTTCTCTAACAGTAAAAATTGGACTATGTGCAGGAGCACGATTGCTTCTAGAACCTTCAGCTGTTTTAATATACTCCATGCCGAGTGCCTGAGATCTGGTCTGGGAATCAGTCCTTTCGCTGTGACAATATCCGAGATTGTTTAAAAGAAAGAAAGATATTGTACTTAAAGTCATCACAACAAAAAGAAAGATGAAAAATGATTCACTTGAAAAATTAGGTGGTTCTGTATAAGGCACAGAAACGTTTTTAGAATCAGGAATACAAACAGGATTTCCACCAACACCCTGTATCAGTGCCACTGCACTAGGTAAAAATCCACTAAGCCCTTCCCCTATGAAGTAAGATATGAGGTAAATTTCAAGAAAATTCCCCATAAAGGGCATGAACAGTACGGAGCTTGTGCACCCAACCAATGCGCCAACGAAGATGAGAACAAAAAGCGCAGTACTATACTGCCCATCACTAATAAAACTAGTTTCATGATAAAAAAATGCCATCAGTAACAACGCTGTACTACCAAGTATGAGAATTACATAAATTATCCAACTGTCTTTTATTTTTCCAGGGAAAAGCTTTTGTGAAATACTGTAAAGAATTGGCCCTACATTTGCAATCTGAATGATTACAGCAATATAAGATGGTAGACTCCAGCCTTCTGGCTGTGACTGTACCAGTAATGGTAATTGCACAAATGTACCATTTACAGATAACCATGCTGAAATACCAAAGAGAATGGCCAATATATCTACTAAGAATTTACGATTAGAAAATCTGTGACATATACAAAACACATCTGTCATGTTGTCAGCTGATGAAGACTGTACTTGCTGATATGATAGAAGAGGTGTCCCTTCACTTATCAAGCACCTAAAAAAAACAAAAAAAAAACAAATAAATATAAGTAATAAACCAACTCAAAATGTTCTTTAGCTTCTACCTTAACCCTTACCTGGAATGACAGAGCTTATTTGACTGGTTTCCTGTTCCTGTGGTCCAGTATTCTCAATTAATAATTTATGTTGCATAGCATTTACGCAATTCTGTGTTATCCTCATGCATGTTACATGTTCTGTCCATCTCACCCTTTGAATTTTATCTCCTAATAATAGCAGACATCTTTTTTTTAGCATTTGTCCCGCTTTGTAAGAGGTTGCTTGATCTGTTTAGACATTTGGTATAGGACTCCTTGGACGAGTGATCAGCCCGTCGCAAAGCCTCTACCTGTACACAGGACAACACAACACAGAAAGATGCAGACAAATATCAATGCCTTGAATGGGATTCGAACCCATGGTCACAGCTTCCAAGCGGCACAAGGCCCACGCTTCACAAACAGTACAAATTATGATGCTCCTTACTGTGTAATTTTCTCCAACCTCTTGTTACTTACTGTATTATAGTCAAGTACTATTGGCCTCAGCACTAAATGAAGAGCTACTTCGTACCTCGAAAAGGAGCCTCCATTACTCACAGAATAGGTATTAGAATATATTAATAATTTAATATATTCAAACCCATTCTCTTAGAATGTGTAAGTCATGGAGGTGGTTTGTGTTAGAACTAGCGTGAAATCAATGTTGCTTGTTTTCTGCACTTCACCCATCATTTAATAATAGTATTCTCATCATAATTATTTTTCTGTAATACTGTAGTTCCAAAAATCTGTCAACAGCTGTTACAACTATGTATTTATATTTGTACTAGAAACATGTATTGTATTTGTGCTATGACCTGTTCTACATCATTGAATTAGGCCTATGAAGGATCTATGTAATGTAAATAAATTCTATTCTAAAACAAGACATTGCATTTTGGGGACTGGTTCTACTCCCACCTTCAGGTGAAAATCCTATTCCTGTTTGGTGCAATAAAAGGGACTAATCTCAATCACTTTTATTGAACCCACCACAGTAAGATTTTCATCTGAAAACAGGAGTAGAGTCAGTTCCCAAACCACAATGTCTTGTTTCATAACATTAAGCAATTGATGAAGTTCAGAAAATGAGCAACATTGAACATACTGCATCACCTACCATCCCTTTAGAGTCACAGTGGCAGATCCCCTACACACTCACCACTGCTCAAGATACATTTTATGTACTTTAACGAATTAAAGCAAGAATGGTAATTACTCACATGGTCATACAATGATGCTATAATCTGCAGTTGAATTCATCTTGAAAATTAACCTTAAAATAAAATGTGTGATAATAGGTCGACTAGTCTTACCCTTACTACTACATACACAAAATTGTGTCAGCTCCTTTGAAAAGGCAGGACATGAAGAAAACTAGATTGTAAATGCAAGGTTATGTATCGTGCACAGGAGTTTTTAGTTCTGTACTCACTGACTAAACAGTGCCTTCACATTTCCAAGAATTCTTACACCAAAACTGTAACAACAATAAATATAAAACAACCTTTTCTCTTGTCCGCATATTACTTGATTTGCAGAAGACTGTACTGATTTCGATGATGACATCGATGTTCGTTTCATTGGCGTTATGTTACTCCCTGACCTTACATAACACTGATAAGGAACTTCGAGTTGCATGCCTGGAACAGCTGTTCATTGCTTGTAGAACACTTCATTGCTCTCTCGTTGTGCTGATTCACGTGTTTCACAAACATTTTATTTCTAAGCGTAATTAACAAATAAGCTGAGCTTACACTATCAAACCAGCTACATTTATATGGAAAAGTTGCTACCACTCTTTCGGCTAAAAATTTACGTCGGCCTATAAAGAAATTTCGCTCATAGTGAAGCTCGCGCTGAACGTTTTCTTTGCTAATATGACACATAGATCAACGACGATTTAATTATTACATACATAACGACAATATAATATTAGCCAGCTAAATTGGGAAATTTGAAAACATAAAAACATTGTTTTGATAGTCATCCTATATTACCCTGATCTGGAACAATTCCGTAACTGTGTGCAACCAAGTGGTTACACGCGTGCCGCGAAATTATACAAGAAATTACATAATCTCACGTTTCAGTTATATAAAGGCAATATCTTATCTTTCATAATCATGATTCGTAAAAACAAACACATACAGACACACACACATACATATTTATGGCCACGCATAGTTTAGTACACAGCTTTTAATGGGGCGAAATTTTGTGGAGTATAAACTCAGTATGTGTTGCTGGTGAAGAATGAACATTTGTCTAAAACAGAGCAGTCTCTAATTTTCATTCAACTTTCTGCTGCAGGTAAAACGTTCCTTCCTTCTGCCGGCCACAATCGACTATGCTTATCGACAGCGAGACAGTTCATTGAATTACGACAATTATTACAGTCTGTTCTACTTTACTGTTACAAACAGTTCTCATATTATTTAACAGACATTAGTGAGATATTATTGTTTCGCGTAAGTAATCTTTCAATATCTTGTTTAATATCTAATATTCCACCTCTCCCAGCTCATTAATCAGCAAACGGTTCTCATGGCAAACACCGGCAAAGAGTTTTATATCAGGTAACTATTTTTCGTCATACATAATGAAACACTACCAAATAATGATGTACGCTGACCGCACAAAAGAAACCGGCAGGTCGCGGGTTCAATCCCTGTTGTAAATTTTCACCAAAACGCTAAAAGAGCTTGTTCTATATTTTCTTCTACGTAGATGTCGCCTGCGCGCCATTGTATGATGCAGCAATCATATACCCATAATGCACTCAATATTTTCAGCTGACTATGTCAGGAGTTCAAGGACAGATATGACTGCATTTTATTTTAAAACGTATTGGAAAACAAAAAGGCCTATTAACTGCCGAGAGTCTTGGCCGGGCACTTACAATGTTTATTCTGTCTGACATTTAAAATGCACTGTAGATTCTGTGGTACAGTATTTTAATATATTCCACAGATATCTTGTCACTTCTGTGCTACTTTTTGTTTTTTAGGTGCACTTTATGCTCTATATTAAGCGAAGAACAACATCTTATGGGCCTGTTCTGTCCGTCCGTCTGTGAGTTTTGAGTCTTTTAGTTTCTTTCGTCTATCGGTGGTTTCACAAACTACATAATTCATCGAGATCGGCTGATTGGATTTTTCGCTAAATTCGGTATTGGGGTTAGACCTGTACATTCAGGGACAGTTACAACACGGCTTTTCAAAAAGACCTTGAATCGTTTAATTAGTTCTAACCTGTACAGATGTCGCTCGCCACACACGAGCATACCGGAGATACTGTTACGTCATTTCGTAGGAGAGTAGATGGATCACGAGCGATGAACTATGGTCACAAAGATTAACTTTTGAAGCTCGTCTTAAATGGATTATGATAGCGAGATAGTCACTGTCCGGTGTTGTCATGTTGTCTTTGAGAAGGGAATGATTCTGGAAGAGATGTTTTGCATATCGACAGGAGAAAATCGTTTATACAAAAAATAATCTTTCCATTGTAACACATTTTTACACTGGATTCATGATAATGTGTACTGTGTGCTATCAAAATAATTTTTGATTCAACTGATAACATTTTGAAGACATTCTGAATGAAGGTGAGGCATGAGAAGTCCTAATATTCAACTCCATAAAACTGACTGACTGACGCCATGTTACAAAATCTTCCTTTGAAAGCTTTAAGTTACTGAGATGAAGAAGAAACTCAGCTTCCGAAACGTCGTGTAATTTCAAAATTACAGGCACATAAGAAGGAAAATGTCCAATGATGTGGATCAGTTTACTCGTAAAGCTTCGTCAAAAACTTCTCCAAAGACCCGATTTCTTCTTCAGTTGCCTAAATTTCAGGCCCTGTGGCCTATTTTGATTCAGAACTGAATTCTGAAGTTGTGAATCATTTTAGTCACTTGGGAGGAACAATCCCGTCTCACAGCATTTTTCAAGATTCGTTATAGTATTATCTTCTCATTTACGCCTAAACCTAAAAGTAGTCTCTTAACTTCAGTTTTCTCCAGTGAATTCTGAGCGTATTTCTCACGTCTTCCTTTCGAAATAATTTCCCTTCTGTTTAAGGTGTCGAAAAACCCTGGATTTTATTGCGGGTTGCTGCTTTCCCCCAAGTAAGATGGCCACCCCGCGACTTTGTTCGCGACTGTCTTTTTTTTTTTAAATATATTCCATGTCTGGAAGCAGTTTCTTTCATTCGGAACCCGAGGGGGGACTCATATCATGGTTAAAGGGTGCCCCATTAAAGCTAAAACTGTTATTGTGCTCAATATTTGATCATAGAACACAAAGGGACGATCACAAAGCGTCTGATTTTTATTTACGGAATTACTTTACAAACTGCATTAAGATCGCTGTTCCAAGTGTCTCTTATCTGAATCTGTCCCCGTGCCATCGTCGCTTGACAACGAACAAAGTGTATTCATACGCGAGCAAAAGTGTGTCCACATCCAATATTATAATAACAGTAATGCAACACCATTAGCAGTAATAATATTCTTCAGTTTTATGATGTTTAATATTAGAATATTTATTAATGGTCGATGAAGGAGGATTAGATACGGAATTTTTGTGACAATGTTTGAGGTTATGTCTCATATTTTGCAAGGAAAGACTAAATAATTCCTTGTAGCGGTTCTTTGTTCACGTATGGTAAGGTCCAGAATGGAGTTACTTGTCTTGTGACCTATTTTATGTGTTATAAACTCCATTCTTTTCTTCCTTAATTACAGACAAATATCACTCTTTCTAGTATTTTCTGTACTAACCTCACTTTGCAGAGGTCAATGCTCATACGCCAGTAGAGTCATGAAAGGGACAATAAGGGTCAATAGGCAATCTACCGTCAACAACACGTGTTTGCACATCGCTATAATTGTGAGGGCCCACATGTGAATATTCAGATGCGACAGATTTAGTCAGAACACAATTGCTTTCGCAGCGAGGAGAATTGGAAGGAGAAAGTTTACACCAAACTAAAAAATGTACAGCTAATATTCATAACGTAAATGTACTTCTGTTATTGCTTTGTCTCTGTCGCATTTGTTTTGTCCTCCGCTTTGTACAGGAATGACATAAAAAGATGTCCTCATTTTCTCTCCTAGACGTGTTACATTTTCAACCTACACATATTTCGCTACCTTAAATACTACTACCACTGTGACGTAGGCGGCCCAATAGGAAAGCGATGTTGTGCGCATGCGTATTCCTGTTATTCCTGAGTGGTTAACAGTGGTCTTTGGCATAAAGACATTTCTCACAAGTGTTTGTTGCTTTCCGTTGTTCCGGTGTAAGAAGCATCGTTGTTCTTTTGTTTTGTCATGACTGACTATTTTATAACTTCCGGTGTTATTAAGTATTTGAAGTAAAACTTGATTTAAATTGGAACAAGCACGACATTTTTCGGTCTGCTAGAAGTGCAACACGTGACTTTTCATACCTCAAACGTTATAAGGAATTACTTAACTCTCGAGTAGAGTAGTACTAATAAGCCACATATACTGTCCCCTTCAATCTTAACACGAACCCAGTAAATCTTCACGTACAGCAGAACAATTTCTATGAAGTAGTAAAGAATGCCATCTTGTAACACATAAAAACACGCAATTCAGAAAATAGGGTTGATGTTCTCCGCCGTAGGTTATTAAAGACGAATTAATCAACAATAATAATAATATAGAACTATTCTAAACAACAAACCAGATATTAAAATCCGAAACAAAACGGAAATTGTCTCTTAATTCATACAGTAATACCTGCTGACAGGAATATAATTAAGAAGGACGCGGAGATCTTGAAATACAAGGACCTTCTCATTGAAATACAGCGAATGTGGAAATTGAAAGCACAAGTAATCCCAATAATTATAGGAGAAACTGGAACTGTCTCCAAGTCACTCAGAAAATATTTGGCCAACATTTCGGGCGGACACGACATCAGGGAACTTCAGAAAACTGCCATTTTAGGATCTTCATACATAATTCGAAAGACGCTGTCGTAGAATATGTAGTCGTCCCTCAAAATAAAACTATATAATACATGTGAAACGTATTAAAAACAAAATGTATTTCGGAAATAGCTGCTGCACTGTGTACCTCAGGAGCAAGGTTTGTCTCTGGTACATAGAAGTAAATACCTTATATAAGGGTAAATAGATGGGATAATAATATGTACTCACCGAAGTCGTCAACAGCAAATTCCAGGTTCCTAATGTTTAGGAGCTTATTCTGCAAGGCATCAAATCAGCAATTAGCAGACCGTCGGGCGAGCATTTTTCGTACTGCTTACGAGGTTCCGGTGAACACGGTCGAATCCGTCGTCCTTTGGCTGACAAGATTTTTTTTTCTGATCAAGACTTGATGCTCACGGCTTTCACAAAGATTCTTGTTTGAGACGGATCTATGATAATGACAAACAAAATTTAGTGATCTTTCTTAAATTCTGTTATGAAGTATTCCACCTCGATTATATGTTATCTCACTTTTCTTATCTTACGGAACGATACTAAATATTCGATGCAGTACTAAAGTGCCCTTAACCTTTTCTATGACACACACTAGATATGTTGCTTATAAGCAATGGCTCTTCTCGTCTGTTCTTGTTCGCTATTTAGATTAGGAAAATAAACGAGTTTTACCGCAAGCCAATTTTTCGGGGTTTTTCAATAATTATACCTTATCTTCGACTGTGCATGCAGAAGAATAATTTCCTAACTAAAATCCATAGTGGAATCAGTGATATAACAGTAAATATATTTCTATATTTTACCTATATACGTCCTTATCTTTACTCACAAGTAAGACAACCATCCAAGTTAAATATACGTACAGCCGGTATACAGCAATTTATCACTTCAACAGGACACCACCAGCTG